CGACTCGAGTCGAGTCGAGTCAAGTCGAGTGAGACTTTTTCAGATACGTGTCGAGTCGAGTCGAGTCGAGCAAGACCTGCATTCGAGTCGACCCGAGTCGAGCCGGAATTTTTTGGCTCGTTTCGGTCTATGATTCATGTTACAAGAAACCAACACGAAAGATTATGAATTTGATGATCGAACCAATCGTACAACAATTGGAAATTTTGGAACAAGGAGGGGTTTGTGACATTGCTGGTAAAATGAGTATGTACAAAGCTTTTTTACTCGGTTCCATCAACGACAAACCAGCGAATTCGTTAGTACAGAATATACCAGAGCCGAATGCTGCATTTGGCTGTTCGAAATGCGAACTTCAAGTATTTATTCTTGACTATGTTAATTTTATGTCATGATGACTTGTTCCTTTTTGTGTAAGGTATAACAGTACGATCTAATACAGTTTTAGTAGCAAAAACAAAACAAGCAAAACATATTACGAATAATAATAAAAAAACTAACTATATTAGAGTATTTCCAACTTCTTTCAAATGTAATTCAATTCGTTTACGTTCAAGTGAAAATTATACAAAAACCTTACATGAACTTGATATACAAAGATTAAAAGATCCCAATTTATCCAACGAACAATTATACACATTGAGGAAAGGTTATCTAGGATCCTGTAGTTTAACGCGTTTACGTTATTTTGATCATGGACAAAGTTTTCTTTCTGATACTTTACACACTGTCTATGGAGGCGCGATGGTATATGATACATGTTTTGTTTTTCTTGTTGCATAATTCTATCTTATTTTTAGAAACGTTTGCTAAGAATTTTCTTTGAAAACAAATTTCGTACAGAAGAAAAAAGCTGGACAATTCAATCGAATATGGAGAAGATAAATCAACGGCTTCAACAATATATAACACCTTCATCAACTGTTCGTCTTCCAAGAAATATTAATTTGTATCATCGTTATAAAGCTAGCGAATTTCGTTCGATTCTGCTGATTTATTACATGATATTCAAAGATATCCTACCTGAACGTTATTATACGCATTTGAAACAATTAGTTTTTGCCATGCATATTGGAGAGAATAGACAAATGCCTCAAGATAAATTAGACGAGATGCACATACTACTTCAATATCATGTAAATCAATTTAAAATTTTATATGGCACGAGACATATGGTGAATAATATTCATTCATTAATTCATTTAGCAGAAACAGTTCGAGACTACGGTCCACTTCAGGGATATTCAACTTTTAACTACGAATCCATATTAGGTAATAAATATCGACTTGAAAGCTTAAAAAATAAGCATCTACCTGTTATTGCTTTATGATAGGTGGTATCACTTCAACTGTTAACGGAACGAAGAATCAAGAAAAAGAGATATACAACAATCTTCAAATGTTAAAAGAATCGAGCTACTTGGCAACAATTAGTCAAAATTCAATTTTATATGAATTAATGATTCAATTTTTAGGCATTAAATATTACGTGGAAAAGAAAAAAGACAATTTTTTAATATTAAAAAAACGTATCAACGAATCTATTAATGAAATAACAGATTGTCATGCTGATGAATCAGAAAATGTTGCTGTTACTTTATTCAATCGTTGCATATATAAGAATGTTCAATATGATTCTTATAATATTAATAAAAAAAAAGATTGTGCAATACTTTACAATGATATTGACAACAATAAATTACAGTACGCGCTTATTGACAAGTTCATACAATACAAAAATGCAAGCAATTCTATATTGTTTCAAGTCTATGATGTAATCAATTGACATTACGATTTTCTTTGTATTGGAACCATGAAATTTGAGTGTGAAAATGTCTCAATAGGCGAATTAAGTAAATGTACGAAACGTATTCATCCTTCAACTGTAGTCGAAAAGGTATTTTCATTTGTTAATGCTAATGAAATTACTATCATTCGATTGCCAAATCTAACTGAAAGTAGCTAATTTAATTTGTTTGTTTGTTGTACATGTTAGTTTCATATTTCTATTACATAAATATGTTGACATTCATGAAATAAGTACTTAATTTAAAGCTCTATAATTATAATTTTATGAAATAAAAATAGATATGAAATTAGCGAATTTGTTTGATAAAATATATTTAAAAAAAACGAAATCATTTAATACGAAACTCGAGATAAATGATCACTTTACCAAATAAGACTATCTTCCAGTGCATTACAACAGAAAGAAATCTTCTTATACTGAAACATATATTTCTTAATTGGCATAGCACTTTCATTACATGCATTCCGATATATGTCAAGTAATGAATTCCATTAAGCTATGTCCATTTTTTCACTACATAAAAATACGCGTTCTGAAGGTTGTTGAACAAATTCTTCAGTATAAGTTTTCAAGCGTTTTTCAGAAACGGATTTTCCAACTATAAGAACGAATTAATCGTGAACAAGTTCAAACGCATATCAGTTGGATGCGTTCGTACGATAAGTGACACGTTCACTATAATTGTGTTCACTTTAATAAAAACGCGTTGCTTACGAACAAGTATGCGTTCGAACACGTTCAAAATTTTGACGAACGCGTCTGAACGCGCCCTTTTGTTTTTAGAACGCATTTTTAGTCGATAAAATACGTTCAATTTTTTTGACAACGCGTTCTATTACGTTCATTTTGATGAATATTTTTCCATGGGCGTAAAATTAAAGGAGAAGAACATTTGGCTCATGTTTTGCAGCTCAATGGTCATTAACTCCTCAAAAAGTTAAACACATAGGATCACTTTGACAAGTATTTAAAACTCATATGTATTTAAAGAATATTT